ATAGAGCTTTGGAAACATAGGACCCTGGAAACATAGAGCCTTGGGAACACAAAGCCCTTGGAACGTAGGACCCCAAGAACATAAAGCCCTGGGAATATAGGACACTGGGAACATAGAGCCCTGGGAACATAAAGTCGTGGAAACATAGGACCCTAGGAAGATAGAGCCCTGGAAACATAGAGCCTTGGAAACATAGGACCCTGGGAACATAGAGCCTTGGAAAAATAGGACCCTGTAAACATAGAGCCTTGGAAACATAGGACCCTGTAAACATAGAGCCTTGGAAACATAGGACCCTGGGAACATAGAGCCTTGGAAACATAGGACCCTGTAAACATAGAGCCTTGGAAACATAGGACTCTGGGAACGTAGAGCCCTGGGAACATAGAGCTTTGGAAACATAGGACCCTGGGAACATAGAGCCCTGGAAACACAGAGCCCTGGGAACATGGGACACTAGGAACATAAAGCCCTGAGAACATAGCTATGCTCTGAAATTGGCCACTTTAAGCTTGCACTTTAACAGCTGCATGAAATGAACAAAAATACTATAATTTTTTTATTTTCAATTATTTGTATTGTTATTATTTATCAGCTAAAACCTCACAGTTGTGACAGGCCTTGTTCTAATGTCGTGTCTAATGTCGACTCGATTTGTACTCCGATGTAGGTCAGCCGAGCAGTTTTGCACATGCAACGAAGTAAAGTAAGGCCCCAGTCAGGCATTGCTGAAATAGAGCCATGGCACAGGAATTGACACAGAAATTAGTATACATTCTTATGATAACTGGGACTTGCACAAGACTATGAGCTAAAGTTATCCTATAGTAACAACAGCAAAATGTCTCCTCATTGCTGTGTACTCAAGCTGAAGCCTCGTCTGAAGTAAGTCTCCAGGTGCTACGGAGCACCTGAGGGCGCTTCACGGAACCTAAGGGTGCTAAATGAAATTCCTTTTTCCACATTTATTTTTGAACAGTGTAGTCAAGGCATCTATAGAACTTTATTGATCTACTTTGGCCTGGAATACAAAGGAACATCTGAAAGACCTTGAAAATGGCAAGATGAAGCGCAGGGGGCTGGCAAGGCTGAGTCCCACTGGGACACCGAAGAGAGTTGGTGTGAAGTGTGAGGGGAGCAGCAGGAGGGACAGATGAGAACTTGAGGAGGTAGAATGAAGGTGACTGTCAACATTTTCAGCAGACAGTGAAGTGTGCATGGAGACTGTTCCTTAGCAACGAGACAAGATCTCTATCTGTCTCTCTTATTTTTACATTAGGGGCCTGTTAAGTTTAGAGGGTAATGTCAAGTGAAATTGGTTGCATTACAATTTAGCAAAATTAGAAAATGTGAATACTGTTTAGACAGATTAGTTCTTCATGGGGAGGTGGAGTAATGTAATTTTACCGCAGGTTCTCTGCAAGGTTCATGACCGAATTATACTGATAAGAAATCAGGGTATAAATTACAGAGGTGGGGCTACTCAATTTACGCACTGCTGTCACACCGAAAAAGTTCCATATGCAAGATGTTTAGCTGCACACAAGCAGAAAACATGTCCAAACTGTTGATTTAATTGCATTTTTGTTTGGTCATTTTTGCGGGGAATTTTGAGCCAGTGCCAATTTCTGATATTTTGGCCCAATCCCATTTCAAATTTTTCCCCCTATTCCTTCTTTCAAGTGTCACCTTGCCCCTTGAAACTGAGTTATGAGGGGTAGTGGTTGAAATCTTCTCCTATGAAATGGGACCCTCAAATAAAGAAGAACATTACTTCATTAACAGCCTACTAGTGGTGCTCTGTAGGTGACCCTGCCAGTCTGCAGTGATAGCAGAGGAGTTCAGCAACCTTATTGCCGGGCTTTAGTTACATTTAGGGAGTCATAGGCCTTCATAGAGGGGAATGAGACAATTATTTATTATCGCCCACCCTTATTTCTTCAGTGATATGAAGCTGAAGTGAGCTATTTGCCAGCTTCTCGTTCAAATTTTCCTGTTCCACCTTAAATGGAGCAGCAGTTACACTCTGGCGCTTCAGGGATCAGCCCTGCTGGACTCTTTAAGGTGGAATGGGAAATTTAGCTAGCTACTAGCAACATGTAGCCCTAACACTTCACCTGATCCCTCTATCTCAACAAAAATCAGGACACCCTACCCCTACATGTGAACGTGCAAAATGGAGGGGTAGGGCTAAGTGGTAGGGGTGAGGGGTGAAATAGGATTGGGCCTTTCTTGTATACCTATTGATGCCAATACATAAACATTTATAAAACGTAGAAATTGGGATTGCATCTACCGATCAGCATTACAGAGAAATATCACATTTTTTGGGGTACAGATGCAGTAAAAGCTTCATCAGAATGTATTTTTACATTCTCAATATCACATTAACTGAAACTGAACAAATAAAATAGGATGAACCCAGTTTTCATCACCATCGTCCAGTGAGAGCAGTAGTGTAGCTTGTCTGTCATTGTTTTCCCACTTTGCTATTGCTTTTGTTAGTGTCTGTCCCCAGTGTAGTCCGCTGAATTACTGATATTGCCACGTTCAAGGTGTGTTTGGGCAGTGAGTGAGACTTAAGACTCAATATACTTTGGTGATAAATTCACTGCATGGCAGTAGCTATAAATGACTTTACAGTTTTATCAACTTGCAATTTAAAAGCAGTATTTGAATAATAACAGTGCCAGCTGGATGGTTAGAAATATCAAACTAGGAAATGCCTGAACAGTGTTAAAAAATTAGTGATGTTAAAAATTTAGTGTGTTACTAATTTATTAATTCATTAAGTTTGACGCCACTACAACTGTGGGACGATCAGAAGAAGAGTCATGCAAGGCCATAATTTCTGCTTGGAAAATGCAGAAAGGCCACCAGAATAGCAACTGTAAATGAGATGCAGGTCACTCCTAGTCGTACTCTTTCTCTTACAATTACTGACAGAAACCCACTCTAATTAGCCCCCAAACCCGGCACAGAATAACGAATAACACATACACACACTTTAACCAAAGAACAACAAGAAACAACATAAACAGTCCCTTTTCACTGGGGCTTGTGTGTCTCATGCACCTCTTCGAAGAGCATTTTGCATTCAAAGTTTCTGTGCTTATGTTGGCAGCACACAATACATTATCAAATATCGATTTTGAATATTGGCCAAATCTAAAGATCCATCCAGTCAATGAGTGCGTTTACATGCACTTAATAATCCTCACCTAATAACTTCAGAAAATCAGATTTTGTCAGTAATCTGATAAACACATTTACATTCACTTGAGTAATCAGATAATGGAAAACTCTGGGTCTACATGAGTCAGACAGTAATCAGATTTCTGCTTTGCAACCAGCCAGTAAACTCACAAACGAAGACGTGACGTAAATGTAACGCAAAACAGCTTTTTTGCCTGAAAATATAAACATACATCATCTAGAAGATGAAGAATATTTAAATTCTTCATTTTGTCAAGCATGCCGTTGGTTTCAGCATCACTCCAAAAGTTTTGTGTGTCTGTTTTAATAATCAGATAACTGCAGAAATCTGATTATGATCAGAGTGTTGAGTGCATGTAAACACACTCACTGTTGATATGTTTAGCAATTATCTGTAGATACCGGTATTTTTACAATATTATCCTGCATCCCTGTCATCTATCAACCTAAGAACCCTTGAAGAACCATTGTTTTTAAGTGTGTAGGTTTGCCAAGTGTCTGGTTTTGGCCCTGAAAGTCCAGTTTTGAGCTCCAGTTGGGTAAAAGCCTGTTAATTAGAAGGATATTGTTTTAAATTCAGTAACACTGAAAGGTGTGTAATGACATCCAGGTTTCTGGTGCTGAGACCAATGAAGTTCAAGTTCAAGAGGATTTATTGTCATTTCAGCTATATACAAGTACACAGTGAAATGAACCAACATTCCTCCAGGACCAGATAGCCTAGCACAGGGGTCTGCAACATGCGACTCTGGAGCCACTCGCAAGACAACAGAATTAGATATTTATGTAAAAATAAAACAATGCTCCTTTGTAGTAAAATAAAGCTCTGCTGATAGTTCAAACACAGTTTGAACAATAAATGGTCTTAAATGCTGAAGTTAATGTATATCTACTAATTCACCTTTTAACCCTAAAGGTCACCATAGCAACGCAGACAACAATCTGGCCTAGCTAGTAGCGAAAAGGGAAAGAGAAAGATTTAAAATGAACATCAATAATTTAGAGATGAAAGGACTTCTTTGCATTTATAATCACTCCAGCTGGTTTCTTGATACGTTTAATCTGCAACAAGAAACTGTCAAACACTAAAAAGTTGTGAAACAGAAGTCAGTTTCTCATTCACCAGCTTCTCATTTGAAATTTCCCATTCCACCTTAAATGGCACAGCAGTTACACTCTGGTGCTTTAGGCACCATTAAAGGTGGAACAGGAAAATTCAAACAATAAGCTGGCGAATGAGAAGTGACTTCAGCCTGGTAAAAAGTGGCTATAACTGAGCTAAAGCTCAAAGCAGAGCAAAGTAAATCTGAGTTTTTGTTTGTCATTTTTAGCCTATACTAGTAAACACTAAGACATATTTACAGTCAAGATGGTAAAATGGACATAAAATGTTGTGGCTCCCAAGGTGGTTTGGTTTTTTTGAAAGGACAAAATGGCTTTTCTTAACATTTGGGTTGCAACCCCTGGACTAGCATATATGAGCATAGCAGTCACTGTGGTAGCAGTGAGATAATCCTAATGTAACATAACCTAATACACTAATAATTAGTACAGAACATGATGGATCAGGAGCTGGGAGCAGTGTGTCCCCTCCAAAGCTGAAATGAAATCCACACCACCGACTAAATCACACTGAATTATGATCTGATTAAAGTTCATGTGATGTCATCAGGACTGTCTGTATATAAATAACCATCAAACATGCATTTTGAGATATTATACTGTTGCTTATTGCTGATATTTTCACACTATACACTTTCATTCATTTCCACTTTGTTTTTCAGGTCTTTTCTTATGGACATGCCCATGAATAGCCAATGTGTTTATACAACTGTCCAGACTTTTGACATCAGGTGACACAACTGGACCCCTCCGATGGAGTCTACACCGTACAGTCGAGTCAACAAAATTCTCCAAGACCACTCGAACCTGAGTTCGACAGCTTATTCAAATGTATCGACCCCCTTCCACCATCACATGAACAATGCGGTGCTGGGAATCCTCCTGGGCACGCTGTCTCTACTGACGGTCATCATGAACATCCTGGTTCTCCTTGCTGTGAGAAAGGAACGCACCTTACACACGGTGGGGAATCTTTACATTGTCAGTCTCTCTCTGGCCGACTTGATTGTCGGGGCAACCGTAATGCCCTTGAACATAGTCTACCTGCTGGAGGACGAGTGGAGGCTGGGTCGTGTTGTATGCCAGTTCTGGTTAGTTATGGACTACGTGGCTAGTACGGCCTCCATCTTCAGCTTATTCATCCTCTGCCTGGACAGGTATCGCTCTGTTCGGCAGCCGCTGAGGTACCTGAAATACCGAACGCGTGGAAGGGCAACGTTGATGATCTGTGCTGCGTGGCTTCTCTCCATGACCTGGATCATTCCCATTCTGGGCTGGCGGATGTTCGCTCATGTCGACAGGAAACCCGAGCTGGAGAGCAAGTGCGACACAGACTTTCGCTTCGTGACCTGGTTTAAAGTCCTCACCGCCATCCTCAACTTTTACATTCCATCCTTCCTGATGCTTTGGTTCTACTCCCAGATTTTCATAGCAGTGCGAGAACATTACAAGCAGTGGGAGAGCCTCACCTGTCCCAGGGTACCGACAGATCAAGACGGAACCGTACAAAAATCAAACCAGCTGCAGAGGACGTTCTACAAACCCTCTGAGAAGGAGAACCTAGCCTTGAGAGCTACTTTTTCTAAAAATGAAGGTATCTTGGATCAGTATACTCTGGAACAGCCGTTCAGCTCGAAGGACACCAATGAGGAGATCGATGACTCTTCTTTGGCCGAGAAAAAACCCAAAAACCGTAAAACCTCATTTTTTAATATCTCAAAACATAAGAGAAAAAGTGTAAGGGAATCGAATGAGATTTCCTCTATGAGCCAGGAGGAGGACATTGAGGACGAGGCATCCTCCAAAGAGCCATCCTTCCCTCTGAGGTTTTTGCACTGTGAGGAGAACGATGAGCTCAAAATGTTTGTATCTGTCAATGACTGCAACGTTTTGGTGCCTAATTCGGTTGCTAATATTTGCGAGATTACGCCCACCGCTGATGTTCACAAGTACACCACTGTTCTCTGCAGTGATGATGTCGCACAGTCACCTACATCGCCGTGGGGACATAGCACAAGTCCACCAATGGACACCAGCAACGCTCTCACACTGAAGCAAACGTGGCAGAAGTTCTGCGAGCAGTCCAGGCAGTGCGTCCAGAACATGCGCGTTCACAAGGAACGGAAAGCCGCCAGGCAGCTCGGCTTCATCATCGGCGCTTTCATGGTGTGCTGGATTCCATACTTCATCACTTTCATGGTCATGGCTTTGTGCAACACCTGTGTTCACCACGACCTTCACATGTTCACCATTTGGTTGGGTTACATCAACTCCACTCTGAACCCTTTCATCTATCCACTCTGCAATGAGAATTTCAAGAGAGTTTTCAAAAAGATATTCCGTATCAAACAGTGATGCTTTTCCATTTCCGGCTCCTGAGCTGCGTCTGTGCAAGCACAGCTCTCTTATGTTGACTTTATGTGCTTTATTGAATGTTTGTGGTGGCCTTGTGAAAAACCTTTGAGGATTGTAGACTGAACAGCTTCTTCTTTGGCCTACTGTGTTGTTGAACACCTGCTGTATGTTGGAGATGATTGTACATTTTGTCCATTCACTCATAAAATATAGCTGCCATAAAGGGTTCTTTGAGCAGCATGACACTCTTAAAAAGATGTTTTTTTAAAGGTTCTTTAGTAAAGACAGTGGTCCTACATAGAACCATGAACGCTCAAAGAACCATTTGCATGCTTAAATGGTTCTTTGCATGTTGAAATTGTTCTTCAGATTGATGGAGAATGTGTTGTATATGGTTCTACAATGAACCTCTTTTGAAAAGGGTTCTATATAGCACCAATTCTATTGTTACAACCCTTTTCGAATAAGTCCTACATACAAGTGTTCTGCTAACGTTACTGTGTCAAACTTGAAATAATAGAATGAAACATTTTTGGTGCTATATAGAACCATTTTTAAAAGGTTCTGTGTCGAACCATATACAACACATTCTCCATCAACCTAAAGAACCATTTCACCATGCAAAGAACCATTTAAGCATGAAATGGTTCTACACAGAATTCATGGTTCTAAATGGAGCTATTCTGTTTACTAAAGAACCCTTATAGATCCATGTTTGTTTAAGAGAGTGTAATAATAGCCAGCTGTGTTGGATCAGAACTCTCCAGGACTTTAGTCTTAAAAACGATGGTTTCTCAAGAGTTCTTTAGTAAAGAAAATGGTTCTATATAGAACCTTTTAAAAAGGGTTCTATGTAGCACCAAGAAGCAACCTGCTATTTTTACGATAAAAGCTTGTTATATTAGAAGAATGCTTTTTGGTGCTATATAGAACCATTTTATGATGCAAAGAACCCTTTGATCATGCAAAGGGTTCTTTGAGTGTTCATGGTTCTGAAAAGTACCATTTTCTTTACTAAAGAACCCTTGAAGAGCCATCTTCTTTAAGAGTGTAGGACCCCTGTTCTGTGGAATTGTGCACAGAAGCCCTTTTGGCAGCTTTGTTTTTGAGTGTGGGCTCCAGAGAGGTCAGATCTTCGGTTCTCAGTGTTATTGTGCTTTTGTTGCTGTGTCATTTGGCATGTTGGTAATCTGCATCAGATTAAACCATTTGCCATTTATTTAAATGCAAATACACGGTGAATGTTCAATAAAGTCTCAGCTGGTTTTGGTGGCACTAATTTTGTGTTTTCTGTTCATCTGTTTAATCTGTGTGTTTTGTATAATAGCTATAATCTGCTGTCTGGCGTTCTAACTGCTTTTCAAACCCTTTAGGAGCAGAACTCTTACTCCCTCCTTAATTTGTTTGGGGCTTTTGTGGAAAGAGTCTCTGTTCATCACAAATGTGTGCAATGTAAGCTTGGACGATAATGTAGATTTCGATTATCACCTTTATTTTTTTTATTTGACGTAGACAAATAAACAATATCGTTGTGATGCAGATTCAGTTACGATATATATATATATATATGTATATATGTGTATATATATATATATGTATATATATATATATATATATATATATATATATATATATATATACGATTCATATACGCTCTATATAGAACCATCTACAGCACATTCTCCATCATTCTTAAGAACGCTTTCATGATGCAAAGGTTCTTTGAGTGTCCATGGTTCTATGTAGAACCAGTTTCGGTACTAAAGAACCCTTGAAGAACCATCTTTTCTAAGTGTGTAGCAGCAGCAGTGATAACAGGCGTCTGTCTCACAAAGCAGGTGTAACTAAGCTGGGTTCCTGATTCAGCTTCACACATCCTGACCAACACGTCTGTGGTCAACTCATTTAATGATGACGGTCCACAGCTTTCTCTGTCACTCAGCTTTAGATACTCCGGCTGTGATTAATCCTTTTGCGCATGCACATAAAAAAAAAAGATGATGTTCATGATGAACAGCCAAACGTGAGGAGGAGTTGAGTGGCTGATTTCTCAAAGAAGGAAAAAGAAATCACATAAATAAAACCATGATGCATTTATTACAGTAAAGAGCAGAGCTGTTGCCACTGCCACCTTTTAGCACTTACTGGAGTAATAACTGCTGATTTGTTTCTTCCACTAAAAATTATATTTTTGACATTTTGGAAAAAAGTGCTCTAAATCTTATGCTATTTCAATGAAATGACTAAAAAATGGGCAGTTAGAAGGCTGTTACTGATTGGTCAGAAGCTCAGCCATGATTGGCCCAAGAGCTGCTTATGATCTGAATTCTTGGACTGTTTTTTTCAAAATAATAATTAATAATAATCATCATAATTCAATTACTGAGATGTAAGCAGAGTGATTCAGAGTGGTCTGTTGTGAAATGGTTCTGATTTCTTTACAGTTGTGATGATAGGAACCAGGGGTCACCATGACTACAACACAAATATAGTCATTTTATATACTCTCCAAAACCACCTGTGAACCTACATGTGTCTTCAGAGTTTTATATGGAATGAAGAATGCCTTGGGCGTCAGTCAGAGTATTCATAACTGTTTCATATAATAACATTTTGTGATGTAGCTTTTAAAGGCATTAACTCTTCAGGCGTCTGGTTCCTATCACCACCACTGTGAACAATTCTGACTTCGTAAGTTTGTCTAGAACAGAGCATTTCACACCAAACTATTCTGAATGACTTATGGAGAATTTTTGAAAAATCGGTGGCATTTCCCTTTGACCTGGGGTCTGTCTCACAAAGCAGGATTTCTTGCTTAGCAAACTCAAGCAAACATAACCGTGGCAACTTATTCAGTTTAGGATTATGGATAAACAGCCAACAACATCCATAACCATTTAATGTAAACTAATGTTAACTTTCTGTTAAGGAGCTTTTAGAGATGGATGTCTGATTCTTATCACCACCACTGTGAACAATTCTGACTCTGTATGTTTCTCTAGAACATATTAGACCATTCTGAATGACTCTGTTTACATATTAACCATTTAATTATTACTCAGCAAAATATAAAATGACCATGTTTTGCCCTATTTCTATGGTGTTCTTTCAGCACAAGCTGGGGCACTAATTTCTAATTCAGTATCAGCTGAAGCTACCAAAGACAACATAAGGGCATTTATCAGTATCTGAGGCTCTGTGACATGCGGGATATTGGGTAAGGCGTCTTGCAGTTTGTTTTTAGTTTTAGGCCAAATTTATTTGCTTTACATTTACCTCTTTGTTGTTTGTCAATGATGTTCGCCCAGAAAAACATTTGGGATAATGCACAGGCTCGATAACACCCAAATATTGACCCTGCTAGGGTAAACATCACGGCTCATGTTCATTAATATAATTTCTTGACAAGTGTAAACGGTTCAAGATTGTAAATTGACATTCAACTGTGTCATGTGATGAGCTAAAGGAGCGAGAGGCCATATCAAAATGTTCCGTTAATGCCAGGTGCAGAAGGTGTAGCTGTTTTTACCCAGCAGTGCATGAAGCCCATTCAGTGGCACTGCTGCTGAGAGTAGGAACCCATAGAAAGCCCATCTTTACCCTAGAATGCATGAAATCACATTCTAACCCTCAGCCATGCATCTGGACCCAGCCTGCTCTGCCTACATGGCTACTTCATCAATGACATTGACTGGACACAGAGGAACCCTGTCAGCCTTTTTAATCGTTTTCTCAGAGGCCCATAGCCGCAGCTCAGGCAGCGCATGGCACCGCTGGGACTTCAATGCGGATCTCAGCAGTAGAGCGATGCCCTTTAAAAACGGCATACATTTTGTGAATAATGTGTGAGCACTTTGCAGAAGTGTGCTTATAAAAAAAAAGACTGTACAGCATGTTCTGAAAATCTTTGGTGCTCTGCTTAAAAAAATGTTCTGAGTTCTTGGGAGATTGAATGGTACTGAGTCTTGAAGTCTGGACATTCTGTATTATTGAAGAGATGCGAGAAATTGAGTCAAACAGATCTTTTATTTCCCCAATAATCAACTCAGTAAGACATAGTAGAGCTGAACAATCAATCCTTTTTATTTTAACCTCTTTAAATCCCAGGCTTAGTACATACTAAGGCTTATTATTCAGTAACTACAGGGACTTCAATGCAAACTGGCAGAGCTATTCTTAGGTTGTAGGTCTAAGGTGCCTAGGATCTTATATATTTTACAAATGATTGCTGTACCTCTTTCAAATAAAAGGATATTACACAGCACAGTTCCATTATTTGTGACTTCATATAGGCTGAAAGGAAGCCTAGATTTAAACTGGGGACATTGCAACTCCCAACAGGCTCAGGTTTTTTAGTTGTCTCTAATATAGAGCTCTTTAACTGGGCAGCTCACTTAAATGTCATTAAACAGTGGTTTACCGAAGATGTTAGATGTAGACTCATATGCATGCAGTCCTACGTCTCACCTGCCTATCTTTGGAAAAGGAACCGTGGGGGAGATTCATAAATTATTATTTAATACTTTATTAGTTTCATTAGTCTCATTATTTGAAAATGACACGCTTGGAAAAATTGTTTGCCTCGATCCGTGAGAATCCAGAATTTCTTTCTGGTATCACTGACCCAGGGTTCAAACAATGGAAATACAGAGGAATGTTATCTGTAGGTGACCTTTTGGCGTAGAGATCATCTTATGAACTCAACCAACAATCAAAAAAACCCTCAACATGACTTTTTCCGGTTAAATTAGCAGTTAATTCAATTACAGCCCCGGATTAAATAGGGAAGCCCTTTAAACACTAGGTCTAATAGAATCAGATGGGAAATGGATCTTAACATGGAGACAAGTGGAAGGAGATTCTAGCCTCCATGTGTCAAACACAAGGCCCGCGGGCCAGATCAGGCCACCACACAATCCTATCCGGCCCGGTAAGTATTTTATTTTTCTGTTAATATTAGCCCATTTCACAATGCGCTGCACTACAATCCCCAGCATGCACTGCAACGTAATGTGCACTCCAACTCTCCTACCCCAGTAACAATCTATGGAACAGCAGTTACACCTCATTTCTACACAATTCTATACCAGTCACATCACCAAACACACTAGCTGCATTTCAGCATCAGCTCAGCAGCTCAGAAAATTGAGTCCAATAATTAATGAACTTGCAGCAAAGAAAGGATGCCAGGTGTCTAGTTCAGACAAATAGGTAGGATAAAAAGACAGAGCACTTGGGGACATTTAAATTTAGAATATTTCAAGTATTCATGTAATATCTGAAGGTCTACTACAAGTGTCTATATTTTACTGTTGAAGTTCTTGCATAGGTTGAATAAACAGTGGCCAATTTGGGTTATAGCTCAACATTAATTAAAAGTGAAATAAAAACATAGTCGTTCTGTGGCCCATGGTTTGTCGATTTTTTAATACGGCCCTTTTAGTGGTTGAGTTTGACACCCCTGTTCTAGACCATATTCATTTCAGTCTTAGTTCCAACCAGTTCACAGTAAGACAGTTTAAAATTGTCCATAGGCCATTTAGCACCCCTGAGAAACGGAAAAGGCTGGACCCACCTACACACTTAAAAAAGAAAGTTCTTCAAGGGTTCTTTAAAGAAAATGTCTCTATATAGAACCAAGAACACTCAAAGAACCCTTTGCATGATTAAATGATTCTTCGCACTGTGAAATGGTTCTTCAGATTGATTTAGAATGTGCTGTAGATGGTTCTATATAGAATCTTTTTAAAAGGGTTCTTCTATTGTTACGATGTCATACTTGTCATAATAGAAGAACCCTTTTCATAAAGGTTCTACATACACATTCTCCATCAATCTGAAGAACAATTTCACAGTGCAAAGAATCATTTAGTCATGCAAATTTTTCTTTGGGTGTTCATGGTTCTATATAGAACCACTGTCTTTGCTAAAGAACCATCTTTGTTAAGAGTGTATGTAGTGTCTCAGTGTGGGGATGGAAGGTGGCCCAGGTGTTACATATAGGAATGCTGTGAAACCAGCACCAGGGCGAGGCTCATCCTCCAGCCTGGTATTCAGAGTAAAGCGCATTTTTTCTCTAAGGTTTTGTTTAGGGAGCACTCCCATCTGCACCTGTCCTCAAACTGGGGCTTAATCTGTGAGGAACTTCACCAAGCTTGCACTGGAAAAAGTGCACTGGTTCATTTAAGGCTGGACTATCAGTCAGAATGAAAAGAAGCGGAGCGTATAGGTTTCTGTCCGTGTTCTCCTGTCTGCTTGTGGGCGCTTTCCTGGTCTTATTTTGGTTTTTCGTGTTTTACTCCCTGGTCTTGGCACCGTGAGAACTGAAGGACGTTTCTCCAACCGGGGGAGTGTCCAGTTAGCCGGCTAGTTGCTTTGTTTGCTAATTAGCTTAGCTTACGTTTTAAGCTCTCTGGAACTGTTAACGTTCTGCTTGCCGTTGTTTTTTCCTAACTCTATGGTCTTCCTGCTGGTGTCAGAAGTATATTTATAACCTTAACGTTAGAATATTCTCAAATTCGTTCCTGTCAGCTGCGCTAGTCAGCTTGCTAACATCATTAGCCCTCTAGCTAACTAGCTAGCTAGCAAACTTGCAGCCGTAACGTCGTCTGTAGGTCTTTTTGAAGCTGTTCTAGACTCACGGTGGGCATTTTAGCACCTTATTCGATTACCTAACTTCAAAGGTTTCGTCCAATAAATTAGCCATTTGCTACAATACCTACTACTGCAAGCTAGCACATACGTGTAGCCATTACTAGTATTAGCTTCGCTGAGACTGCGCAGACGGGACAGCAGTCACATGATTTAAACAAGGAAGTCTGTTTCTGGTGAGTGGTTGGAAATTACTTGTGTTATAACACTTTTTAAATCAATGTCGTGTTCGTCTCTTTCACATTAGGCTGCTTGAACAGCGCTCCTGTTTAGCTTAGCTTAACTGCTTGGTTTCAGGACTTGCTGGGTAGCAGCAGCTGCGGCGTTGAAGGCATAAACAGAGCTGCCACTGAGCTGAGATACAGCAAAACTAGCAGCCACCAGATACACCATGAGTCTGTTTTCCAGACAGGACAGGGATTAAGCCTAGTCCTGGACTGCACAGCATACTGAATGGAGGTCCTCCACGGAAAGGAACTAGTCTTAAATAGGAATTCCACCATTTTTTCAAAACGTTGGAATAAATCAGTCCTTGGGATGTGAAGAGATCCACAGATAACAGTAACAGTGACCCAGGAATCCTGTTTGTATGTCTGTGTACTCATCTGTATTTTGTATGTTTTGTATCTGTCTATCCATCTACCTGTCTGTTCATTGAGTGGTTTGTTGAGAAATGGTTGATTGTAGAGACTCAGATTTCTTTACAGTGGTGGTGAGAGAAACCAGGGGTCACCCTGTTTTCTTTGGGGACTATTTTACCTTATAACACCCTGCATGTACCCCTCTGCCATGAATGGATTAAAAATAAATGAATTAAAATACATTTTAAGCCACAAAACTATCATAAAGCAATGTGTCAGACATCAAGCAGCATATATCTAGCCATTTTGTGTAATCACTTTCAGTAAGCAAGCTTTTGGAGGTGGAAGTCTGGTTTCTGTCACCACCACGGTAAACAGTTCTGACTCTAAGTTTCTGTAGAGCAGAGCATTTCACACCAAACCACTCTGAACGACTTTATTTACATCTCAACCATTAAACTGTGTAGAATTTTTCAAAATTTGGTGGAGTTCCCCTTTAATCCCTGTCATGGAAATCAACCCATATCCAAAAGTATCCAGATACTCTTTCTAATGAGTGAATCCAGCTTCTCTAAAGTTGAATTGGACACACAGTTTGAAAAATTCCCATAGAAAAGCATTGACCAATAGATTGGGATGCTCTGGAGCAGTCACACATGAGCCTGTGGACGCCATGCCCAAAATCAAACCTGTACATTTTTGTAATTACTGCACCAAAGGAGGACAAACTCACTATGAAAACCCTTTTTCAGAATAAATGTCAGATGAGCTGGTGTCTTCACGTTTGGACATATAGTGTACATGTGTGGTAGAGATGAGCAATGAGGGGCAAATGATCTAATTGTAATTTTTCTCACCAATATTGTGGCTGCAATTTAAATTGCGATTATTTATTTGTAAATCAAGCTTTTTTCTCACAAAAGACCAACATATCCATTTTTTACTTGAAAGCTGAACATGGTGCACCAGATTGACACTTAGTTGTGGTCGTGTTTGGTTGCTTCTGATTGGTCTAACTCATCTGCAGACAGTTCACAGGCTCTTTATTAGATTAAATTACTCCACTCACAACTTGCTAAGGCAGTGTTAATATTGACATTGTAGGCCATAATTAAAAGTTGCAGCTCATGCGATTTGAAAATAGGAGTCTTTTAAATTGTGATTTTGATATAAAAATGATTTCAGCCCCAATTTCTGCATAAATAAATGGTCAAAATATTAAAGGTCACTCAGAGTGGTTTGGTGTGAAATGCTCCGTTCTAAAGAAACCACGTCAGATTGTTCACAGTGGTGGTGATAGCAACCAGACATCTGAGTTTATTGCTTCTAAAAGCTTCTTCACAGAATTTTTTTTTACATAATATGGTTAAAAATATAACTGATGTCTGAGACATTTATTTTTTGATAGTTTTGAGAGAAGTTTTGGGCTTCTTTCAATATCTTTTGAAAACTGCTGTAGTTGGAGGGCACATGCAGGGTGTTATAAGGCAAAATTGTTACTAAAGAAAACTGTTTTTTCAGATTTGTAACGTTTTTACGATCATCAATATTACATACAAAAACTTAGAAGACGCATGTAGGTTCACTGGTGGTTTTGGATAGTAAATATAATGGCTATATTTGTGTTGTAGTCATGGCAACCCCTGGTTCCTATCACCACCACTGTAAAGATATATGAGTCTGTAAGCTTCACTACAATTAACCATTTCCTTGAACCACATCAAGAAATACATATCTAGCCATTTTGTGTAATAACTTTCTGTTAGGGAGCTTTTTGTGGTGGACGTCTGGTTCCTATCACCACCACTATGAACAATTCTGACTCGGTAAGTTTCTCTAGAGCATTTGGCACCAAACCACTCTGGATGACTTTGTTTACAACGCAGCCCTTTAATTATGTAGAATTTTGGAGTGTCCCTTTAATCCCTGTTAGGGGAGTCAACCCATATCCAAAAGTATCCCGATAATCATTTTAATGAGTGAATCACATCAAAGGACTCTGAATGACTTTGTTTACATGTCCACCACTGAATTGTGCAGAAATTTTGAGAAATTGGTGGAATTCCCCTTTAACAAAACAAGGTCTGCTATGAAAGCTGTAGAATTGTCGCTGTATGAAGGAGAAAATCTTTTCACCGTAGAGACCAAAAACAGCAGTAATCCGCAGAAAATGTGCAACCTAGGCGCAAACTAATTCTTAAACTGAAGTCTCAATAAATTTCTAAAACAGGGCAAAAGGTGGCCACTATGGGCATTTTTTGGCCTGGTGTCAAGTTACCCTTACTGATACCTTAAATCCAGGGCCACTTTAAATAGATGTGCTAACTGAATCAGCATTATGTCACTGTCTGGACATTCTGTGCAGACAAGCTCTCATTTCACTCTCCTATCTTCATACAGTGTTTGTGAGGGAGAACAGAGTTTGGTGTTCAGATGGCAGCTGAGTCAACTGAAAAGGGCTCAGCTCCTCCAAAACTGCAGTTCGCACCTTTCTCCAGTGCACTTGAGGCCGGGTTCTGGCATCAGCTCACCCAGAAGAAGCTGAATGACTACCGTCTAGATGAAAGTCCAAAAAGCATCAAGAGTTATTACTATAATGGTGAGTAAGCTTGTGGTTCGAAATTCCTTCCTGGAGTCCTTCCTGGAGTCCTCAGAGTCCTGTTTACAGTACAAACATCCAGTATCTTGATAATATTTGGATTAAAATACAAACGTATCTGCGTTTGTGATTGGAATGTGTTCAGATTCTGAGGCGGTTTAGCACATATTGTGATCTGTGTGCATAAATGCGTTGCAGCAGATTACACCCACGGTCTAATGTGACGTGCGCACCACCCAAACCTTTCACTGTCATTCCTTCCTTTCTCATTAATTGAGTAGTCAGCATTATGCAAGCCGTTTTTCTGTTAGAAAAATTGATACCATTTTTGAAAATCTCTTCTTGTGGTGAATGTAAATGTTCCAAACATATATATTGTCTTGCATACATCACTGAATCCTCTGAATCCTCTGAAAGGGTCGAAATAAGAATGTTGCTACATGCAAGCCAGCACTGCTGTGCACTAAATTAACATCATAACGGCACATTTACTCTGCCCTGGTGCGTTGATGAACATGAAGACATCTTCTCGAATCAGGTCCTGCTAAATAAAGTCAACATTTATGTAATTTTTTTCCTTTATTTGTTTTGAACGATCAGAAACTCAATGTAGTATGTATGTATTTTCCAAAATGTTGATAAGATTAAACTTGGACTGGTCATTAATTATCACTTGCAGGCAGGATTTTACATGAAGGATTTTACATTTTTGTAGGAAAACAGTGGTGTTCAAATATGAGCTTTTGCCAGTGGTCATCTGAGGTCTCACAGGAAAGTTTGAAAAGCAGAACAAATGTTTCAACACATTATGCTGCAGACATGAATTACGTAAACACCAACCGCCTCCTGACTTATCACGTTTCATTTGGAAAAAACTTCAGCTTCATTGAACTTTTCAACACACCCCACCCGTCAAATCATGCATCACACGGATACAACGGAAAGAATAGATGCTTCCCACTGAAAACCTTTGAAATGTGCTGTGCTGTGCTGTGCGTTGCCGCACGTTGCCGCAGTGAAGCAGTCTAAATGCTGGGTAAGAGTGGCAACCTTACCTAAGGAAAGCTAATAACGGAGCTTCCTGTAGCTTCCTGCTGTACAACTCTGTTCAAACCTCACCTGCATGAACTGACCCTCCTGATGATGCCACTGCTGCACAGATGCAAACTATTTAATTGTAGCCAATGCCTCTCCTGCTTCTCCCCCTTTCTGTATTTTAATGTTTTCTGTGAATGGTAAAACCTTATTCTCTTTTCATATTGCTTTTCTGTTATTGTTTGCTATTCAGTGTAGACCAGAGGAGGATGGGTTCCCCTTTTGAGTCTTGGTTCCTCTCCAGATTTTCTCCTCTTGCTCTTAGGGAGTTTTTGCTTGCCACTGTCGCCATTGATGACGCTCATGGGGGCTCGGACCCAGATTCTTCTGTAAAGTTTTTCCTGTAAAGCTGCTTTATGACGGCCTGTTGTAAAAAGCGCTATATAAAAAAAACATTGACTTGACTTGATTTGAAGTACCCCATGCAAAGCATAAGTTTTGTCAAATGTGAATGTTTGGATGCTTTGTCAGTTTTAGGCTACAGTCTAGGTTTTCTGAAGCATGGATGTAACAGATGTAGCAATATATTTGTATTTCAACTTATAAACAGTTCTGTAAGGATGCTGCAACAGTCAGGGAGCAAATGCACGCAAGACAAAACATATCAAAAATGCCGTCCGTTTTTCAGCTTAGACCTGGAGCTCCTAATATGGGCATGACGCAGACAACAGAATGACAAATGATTTCAGAGGTCTATTCAAACGAGGGCTTATGAACACAAAATTCATTTGAACACAGTTTTTCCAACACTCTGGCTGAGACTTTTAACCTGTTGACTGTGCTTCAGATATGTCTACTAAGTAGAACGTGCATAACTTGCTGTGTTTTCTTTTCTGTGCACTGCATTTGCTAAATGTTTTATACAGCTCTCCCAGTGTAGCTGGTGCAGGCTCTGCCTATACTGCTCTGGGGACGCACTTGATTAAAAAATGTAAATATTGCCTTGGGAAATGAGATCTGATCAATATCTGAATGCAGAAGCTACATTTGAAAAAGCCAGGTGTAAACGTGCTGTGCTTTGATTTAATGATTGAATCATGGTAATTAGATGTTAATGCAAAGTGTAGATAGGGTCGTTATAGGAACGGATATAACAGCTTTACCTGGTATTGATTTAAGTTGGGGTTTTTTTTTATGTTTAGCTTGTGGCCTGTTTTTTTCATCTGGAGAAACAGAGTCTTATCTGTTGCTTTTAGGGATGGGGAACACGTTTCAGTGACAAGCCAGTAATTTTCTCCTAGTGAATTATATCTGATAACCACTGATATGTGACCAGAACCTCCATCAAATATAGATGCCAGTGCAGAAGTCTTAAAGAGACAGTGATGAATGGACAGTTCCATTTAAAAGAGTGATTTTGCCTGATATGTAAATTAGCCTGTCGTAACTAAAAGTTATACATTTTCTGTGAAATCAGGGGACCCATCTGGCCTGCCAACTCGTCTGACTCTGGAGTTCAGCGCATTTGAAATGTAAGTTCTTGTCTTTTTTCTGTCTAGGGTAGTGCTAGGAGGTATCTTGATATTTTCCAAATTTATCACAGCACTACAGTATCAATGATGGGTAATTAGTATTAATAAATTAATAACAAATGGGTTGAGATGGCTATTTTCATGGAGTAGCAGTACTCTGGGATGATTAACTTTATTGATGCTAACCTAAAAATCATATACCATCATATTTGGAAAATACCGTGATTGATCTTGACTGATACAGCCCTGCATGACTACTTTGTGTGTTATGAATGAGTCCTAGATTTGGTGATGTGGTGCAGAATGACTTGTGGAAGGCTCAGTGTGCTTCTCTAGAGTTGGGATGGTTTACACTTGGGTACGATCTGCATGGCTGTTGACAACCTCAAGGAATTACAGGACACCTAAACAGCTGGGTTTTAATAATTTGTGAAAATCATCATTCCATTTCATATTATAGTGATTTCTAATATTGCAAAAATGAGAAGCTGAAAATGTACCTTACATTAATGTTTGTTTCAGTTTCAAACAAAATAAAAAAATTTGAAACAAAAGCTGTTTTAAAGTGTCCTGATATAATGTTCTAGACACAAGCTAATAGGCCAGTTGCAATACAGTGATACAGTACACTTCAACATAATTCGATACGATGTGTCGTTACATTCCTACTGAAGCGGTATGCATGTCCTACTACAGGCTCATGCCATTTCTCTGTATTGTGAATGCATGTTAAAATCCAGGGCAGTGTAAACTGACCTGAGCAAGTCCTGTTTGGAATCTTTAAAAGCCTTGCTGTGTTTTCATATATACTGATGTCCTATGTAGTCTTCAGATCTTGGTAGAGTATTAACTCAAAAGCCACTGGCACCTACTTTGTGATTTATTTTTGATATGTTTATAGCGAAGGAAAGCTATAAATAGAGTTCCATTGGTAGCTGTATCTTCTGTGGATGTGATATAAGGGGGATGCTTTATTGAGCTTTCTGGGCAGAATGATTGTCATATAATGGAGAAACATTTATAGCTCAGTCAGATTTAGCGACACACTTACACATGATGGAAGACCATATTATAGATGTAAAAGCCTGGATGACCAGGAACTTCCTCCTGCTAAATTCTGATAAAACAGCAGTGTTGCTGTTGGGCCCTAAATCTGCTCGAAATAAGGGTCCAGATTTTATCCTTAACCTAAATGTTTTTTTCCGTGCAACCAAAAGCTACAGTTAAAGACCTCGGTGTTACACTGGATGCTAGTTAGATGCTGATTTGAATCCCATGTAAGACTGAATCTCTAAGACTGAATTGTAGCACTTGAGAAACGAATCCAAAATAAGACACATACTAAACCTACGAGATACTAAAAAAGGCAGTTCATGCTTTCATAACTTCTTGATTAGACCGCTGTAATGCATCCAGTGTATTTGCAGCTCCAAGGTTTTGGCTTGAATCTTCCAACTAGTGCTGCTTTTTTGATTAAATTGAAATTGAAATGTATATTAAGTTCCTACATAGCAGAGCTACTATTTCAGAGAACAAACATAATAGAAATATGAGTAGTGTATTTATGAAAAGTTATTACAAAAATATTAACAAAACAGTTGGTTTTAAATTGTGCTTCTGCTACAAAACTATTTAGATGAATATCACTTGAGTAGGTTTTGTGGGCATTACTGAAAGGGAGGAAACTAGCATAACCCACACTTGCAGGATCTCATGAATGCATGTTTTCAGTAACAAATTAGGTGTAAATGAAGGTGGGGAAAAACATTGTTTACAGATATTATGTTTCATCTTTTTCTCCCAACCCCCAGCTATTATTGAGAGAACGCTCAGCTAGCTCAGAGACCTGCGCTGATATTGTGTTTGCTTGTTTATTTATTTTTATTTATTATTTTTTTACAAAATGTAAACAGGGATGTATATACAGATAATGTAGTGTGTGTAATGTATACAGGGCTTCTTGTTAAAGCTAATTTGCAGCAGTCACAGTATAATATGAACATGTGTTATGATTTCCAGTTCATGTTGACTTTAAGCACAGTCTGATAATGTGAATGTACATCACCGTTAGCCTGGAATTGACATTGCAAATCTCATAGGGGTACAGGGAAATTAGCATCGTCGTAGCAACAGTGAAGATGTGTCATACATATTGGAGCATGTTTAAAGAGTGACAGTGAAAAAAGGGAATGGAGTACTTGGATTCAAATAACATTGAGAAATGAATTGAGATCTCAATTTTGAAATGCAATCATCGTTTTTCTCTGTTTGAAGATCCCAACTACCCTTTACATTATGTAAATAATTGATGATGAGTGCACTAACAAAATGGACCTCAATTACTTGAAATAAAATCTTGCATTAACATGAATAAAAGAACATTTATTCTTTGTTTTTTTCTTTTCATTTTGGAAATAGAATGAATAATTGCTTTAAGTGAGTCAGGTAAAGTTTTTGAAACCAGAATGTATGGAAAAATAATGCAGTTTCCTTTGGTACCGTGATGTATTTGCACGTGAAACACTGTATTGAGGAGGTTCCCTGATCTAGCTCTTGATTATAGATGAGGTTGGTGGGAAGAGGGTGAAGTTGGTAAAGGTTATTTCGCCCCACTGCTCCACATCAGAAGCCATTTTAGAGACGGTGCAGAAATCACTACATTTTGATGTACGATTGCGAGAAAACATGAATTTTGGCTTTTTAAATGAGAGATGATGAATCAGGTTTAATATGACCAAGTACATGAACAAAGAATGTGAAAAATATCAATTTTGATTTTAAGTGACTTTATTATTGCTCTAGTCTAAACTCTACTGAAAAGCCTGGGCCAGGCTGCATGACAGAGTGCCAATTCATTATGTAAATACTAACTCTGATCCTGTACTTTCTGACTCTCAGTAGGAGTTTCAAAGATAAGTTTTAAAGAGTTTTAAAGGTTTTTTGTTATTAATGAGGAATTTCAAGTGAGACAGATATTAATATTGGAGAGATATTAAATCTGAGATATTAAATTATGAAGAGGAAATTACATGAATACTCATCTGTTTCTTTGAACACTTGCTCAATCAAAAATGCTGATTATCTCCTGATGAAATCCAGGGAATATAAGTTTTTATTGCATTAATTCATAGTGTAGAGTTCCATGTAACGTAAAATCTCCATTGTCCGTGACTAACTGAAATCTTTCTCGTCCGAATGTCCAGCGATGGACCCACACCAGCTCACTGCTGTCCTGCTGTAGGCACTCTGTACAACACCAACACCCTTGAAGCTTTTAAGTCTACAGACAAGAAAGCACTTCTAGACCAAGTAGCTAATGAGGTGGGGTGCAGTTTTTATTTGACTGTAATACATTTCTATGATGGCATTTCTGTTATTTCTGATGTATATAGATGATAATTGTATATTGTGCAGTGCTTTGTATTGACATATAGAACAGTCGGAACAGTTTCTAGCTTTTAATATTTCAGTCCATCAGTAGTTATTTATATATATATATATATATATATATATATATATAAAAATGGAAACAAGGAAATTGGAAACAGGTAGAAATTATAATCTCTGTAACTTTATATATTAGCACATTTATTTGTGCATTGCTGACTGTATTTGTGATAATGTGATAAGTGTGCTGAAATGAAGATTTGTCATCGTAACAGATCTGGAATGCCATAAAGTCAGGTGCTGCGGTGGAAGACCCTTCAGTCCTGACCAGGTTCATCCTCCTGACCTTTGCAGTATGTATCCCCATATAATAAACGTAGGGATGCACCAATGTGGAATTTCTGGGCCAATAACCAACAAATAAAGGGCCCATATCATGGAAAACCTATATGGGCTTTATATATCATGGAATCGTTCTCACTTTATTCGTATAAAAAAGTTTGATGTGGTATGTAAACATTTTTAAAGTTACAAAATATACCGTTCACTTTGCAGTCCATGCAGTCCATGTATGAAAACCAGACTACAGCAACAACCCCTTTCTGAATTTGTTTGTTTTTGTAATGTCATGAAAACCAACCTGATTAACATGTATTAACCTTAAAGGTGCAGTAACAAATGCAGCCTATTTAATTCTAACGGATAAAGAGAGGTTAGAAAAAGAAGAAGCAGCATTAAAAATGCTCATGGTGGAAACTGTAACGGCAGTTTTTGGTGTGAAGAACACCCTAACAGAGCTGCTTACCTGAACAGCTGAGCTGCTTCTTTCAGTAATCATTCATCTACCGCTGTGTGATCACTCACAGTCTGAGTTAAATTAATTGAGACAGTGGAAGGAACCGTCGAACTGTCGGCATAATAAAGCCTTCAGCACAGCAGCCAGCTAGCCGGGCCTTTGCGTCCACTAGCAGTGTGCCTCGCGGCCCATCACTTCAACCAAGCCAGAAGAAACACTGAAAGTCTGTTCTGCACAATAAAGATATATTACATTTACATAAATTGTTAAACATGTTTGTATTATTAATTATATAATAGTAAATGCTGAATATTGCCCTGCGATGGACTGCCAACCTGTCCAGGGTGTATCCTGCCTTCCGCCCAATGACAGCTGGGATAGGCTCCAGCACCCCACCGTGACCCAGAAGGATAAGCGGTTTAGATGATGGATGGATAAATGCTGAATATATACAGTAAATAAACAAAAATATCTAGCCAAGCTGAGTGTGTTTTACTTGTGACGCAGAACATGGATTTTACCAAGATTAAATATTTAAAAAATGTAATTATATAAATATCAGGAGCTGTAGGTTAGTTAGGTTAGATAGAGTTAGTATCAGTACCGGGTATCGGCTGATACTAAAGGATCAGGTATCAGTATCAGTATTGGATTTGGAAGGGAAAAAGAGGTATCGGTGCATCTCTAATATCAACTGATGGTGTATTGTGTAGTAAGGAGATCACTGTGTGAATAAGACAGTATCCCAACAGTTTCTCATCATTTATTCTCTCTGTTTTAGGATCTGAAGAAATACCACTTTTACTACTGGTTCTGTTTCCCTGCTCTGTGCTTCGTTGAAGGAATTCAGCTTGTAAAGGATCCCGTCTTACTAGAGCAAAAGTTCTCCCCCAAACAGGTGTGTTTTACATCCAAATATATGCTATCCACTTCCTCTTTGGCGGAGGGGGAGGTGACTATTACACAAAACATAGATTAAGTTCTTGTCTGTGGAGAGGAAGATGAGTTTAAGGTTGTTTGTCTAACATGACATGGAAATGCAGGATATGTGAGGTCAGCACCCCAAGGTTTGGACAAAGCATAAACATACATATATACACACTGTATTGAAAGTGTTTTAGTACAGTTTTAGGCCATATTTAAAGCTGTTTCTATGTACTGTAAGTGTTTATTTGCTTAGAGACAATACTACCATTAGAATAAACACCAATAAGCATCAGTTGTAATTCTGTTGTAATACTACATTCGTATGCAAAAGCTTGAGCCCCCCAGTCAAATTGCGTGTTGTTGAAGTTAACACATCCTCTACAGGGAACACTTCTGCGCATTTTAATACACAGTTAATGTTTATTTACAGAGTTTAACATACTGAAACTGAGACTGCAAACTTTTACACAGGCCATTTTTACCAATATGTTAAATTCAGCAAATAAACAGAATTGTCAATTAAAATGTATGGGGAAAAATTTTCACTTGGAAAATTACCAAAATATGTTATCAAGTTTGCCCAAACTTTTGCATATGACTGCATGTCGTTTCTTTGAGGTGAGCTCGGTATTTGTAGTTCTCATTGATGACCTGGTTCACCTAATTAATGAGTGTGTTTACATGCACTTAATAATTCGATAACCGCAGAAAATCTGATTTTGTCATTAATCCAACATGTTTACATGCATTTAAGTATTGTATTTTATTGTGACATAATTCATCATGATAATGATATATTGTCATATTGCCAAGCCCTAATGACAAGTGATTCTAAACCTTTGAATGGCAGTGTTTCAATAACATAACAATAAATCCCTATGCCTTTTTTTAGTTTACCTGTGCTCATTGTAATGTTGCGTTTTGTTCATGAGTCTACAAGTAAAAACACCATATAAAGCTGCACTATGTAAGTTGTTTTTGTTAAAACTGAAAGAAGTATAATCAGGAGTCAGGAGAATAAACAGGTTAAAAATATGGTGAGCGTGTGCTGCTGCGAGTCGACCTGTAAAGACTGAAATAATCATTTAAGAGTTCGGGTCGAGTTTTTCACCCCACGTCATGTGTCTTTACATATTAACATCATACACGCAGCCTCAAAAAGAGGGTCTGGCTCAATGTTTAGGTCTCAAATGACTTCAAAATCAACATTACACTGATTAAGATGTGATGATAACAGTAGATAATTTACTCACATCCTCAGAAGACGCGTCTTTCACCAAGTTTTCAGTCATCAGATTCATCTGCTTGGGGAGGGGTCCAAAGCACAACCCACATTACAAAATGTTCTTCTGCGCATTGTGTGCAATGACATATTTCCACCAGAGAGGTCTCCAAATCCCCAAAACTTACAAAGCACAGCCTTAATGGTTAATTAAATATTTTAGCGAATTTTCTCGACTGGCCTTTTGCACAGTACTGCCAGTATTCATATTTTAACTACAAAATGTAGTCACATTTTAAAGTACATATTTTGTTTACAAGTGGTCTTAATTTGCATGTTGTTCATCTAATTTTGCAGATATCTTCTTTTCAAGTGGCGTATGACAGGCTCTGTTCTTCAAGTGGAACAACAGCTGTCCCATATTTTCTGGTGAAGTACTCTGAGGAGAGCGTTGAAGTGGCCTCACTCAAAGGCTGGAGCTCGTTCTTCACAGACCTAAAGAAGGTACAATTGAGACTGAAAAATGCTGATGGTATTTGTGTCCTATTTAAAAAAAAACACTGAATTCAAAATATTCATAATATTGTTGTTTTTATTTTTCAGTAATATGTATTGTTCTCAATAAGATGCTTTTCTCTATTTTTTTAATAAGGTCATATTTTAAATAGGATACATTCATACCTTGTTTGTATGCAAACGTTTGGGTGGCCCTGGTCAAATGTACATGTTTTGTTGATTTTCTAGGTGAAAATAAGTTAACACATCCTCTACAGAGAACACACTTTTAATGCCTTTTTTGAATATGTTAAGTACAGCAAATAAACAGTAATTGTGCATTAAAATGTGCAGAAGTGTGTTCTCTGTGTAGGATGTGTTCACTTATTTTCGCGTAGAAAATCGACCAAATATGTCTTTTGCCTAGGGGTGCCCAAACTTTTGCCCAGAACTGTCTTCATCTGAGCATTAATAGAGATTATTGCTTATATTTGGAAAATAAATGGCTGTAATCTTAAAATCTTTGTCCTAAACTCCAGTAACTTAAGAAAAACCAGGCCAGTTTGCATTGTTTTCTGTTTAATTGCTGAATAATAATCAGTAATAATGATAATAATAATCAATAAAAATCTTAGAATGTCATGAAAGCATTAGAGTTTAAGAGGTTGTACAATAACCGCTCCATGAGTTCTGGCCAAAATCCTACAGGAAATATGCAGAATATTTGCTGCAATTGAATATAGAATGATATTTATATATTTAATATTTATATTTATTTGCTTTGTGTGAATAGAAGAAAGATCAAAAAAGTGAAGATTAACTGCTTGAAACTACTGTGACTGCAGTGAAATAGTGCAGCAAATCAATAGTGTGAAAGTTGTTTTGTAATGATGTATAAAAATTGTACGATACTCTGTTTGAAATCTAACCAACATTTTCACCATGTTTTTGAAGGTTACCGTGGGGGTGTATGACCCGTGTACGCTGCCTCAACATCCTGGCTGGCCTCTTCGTAATTTTCTGGTCCTCCTCGCCAGTAAATGGTGAACACATAACACTCATGTCATAACACACATCCCGCTGGTAGTGTAGTTTATGTCTGCAAATCCTCGCTGCATTCCAGAAGGCTTTTTTTTCTCTTGGACCAGCAATATTTAACTCTTAAGTAGAGGAAATTTGTGTCACTGTTAGGGATGTTACTGTATCAGAATTTCAGTAGTTGATATCGATATCATTGAAGTTTCATATGTCCAGAAATCTCTCCACTTTGCATGGAGAAGAACAAGAACCAGAATATCTTTGGTACATTTGGCTGGGCCTGTACTTGATGTAACCTCTCATAATCAGCTCTCTCTTCTCCCTGATAGGAGGAAAATAGAGATTCCATTAATTTTTCTTTAGTCTTTTGGCACTTAACACTTTGAATGTGCATGTTTTATTTAATACATTTCTAAATATGGCACTGTTCTTTGAGTGTGAGTGATACCTCTTTTTTCTTCTGTGAATGTATATCTGGCTGTTGTGAGTTGTGGGGTTTTTTTCAACATAGTTTGAAAACTGTTAAATGCGTTGTGTTAAAATTTCATGATGAATGAACCAATAGAAATAGTCCAAAATGACTTTGAACCGTTAACCTCTATGTTTTTGTCTGACTGTGAATATGCCATATTTGTTGTGTAATGTAAAGGATGGCTAACAGGATTTCTTAGAATATTTAATATGTTATCAAATACATGTATGTTTTTCGACAGCCATCAATGAGTGTGTTTACATACACTCAATAATCTAATCATAATGGAGTCATGTAAACAGCACACTTTGATTACTTAGATCGGAATAAGGTCTAGAAATCCGATTATGAAAGAGAGCTGGATTTTAGCTCAGTAATCTGATTTCTCAGTGCATGTAAACTCTTACTCTGATTTCTTTCGAATTTCTCAGTCATGTTTTTGTGCATATGCGAAACAGACGGAGGCACTGGAAATAAGCGAGCAGCGTTGCCGCGGAATGCAGCAAAACACTTTTGGAGTGACGCTGAAACCAACTACATGCTTGATAAAATGAAGGATTTAAATATTCATCTTGTAGATGATGTAATTTAATATTTTCAGATAATAGTGGCATAGTGTTTAAAAAAAAAAGCTGCAGCATGAAGATTGAGTTTTAAGTTACGTTTACGTTACATCACGTCTTCTTCTGTGAGTTTATTGGCTGGAAGAAATCCAATTATTGCCTGACTCATGTAGACCTGGGGTTTCCCTGTTATCTGATCACGCAAGTGCATGTAAACGTGTTTATCAGATTACTTACAAAATTTTCTGCAGTTATCAGATTATTAAGTGCATGTAAACGCACTCAGTGATTTCCCAATCCACAAGGCTCCTATTAATATTAACAATTTAAATGTAATGAGAGATTGCTTTTTTTGTCTCCTTTTGCGTTTTGTTTGTTTCATGAAAGGCTTGTGTAGAGGTATTTTGAAGATCTCCCCTGTTTGGCGGATAAAGAAATGTTTGAACATGAATGCGCAAGGAAAATGCCAAAGTAACATGTCAGATTGCATGCAATGAGCAAATGGTGACATTTGTTTTCTTAATAATTGTATCTTGATTTTCACCACCTTGTTTGTGTTGTTTAAATGGTTGAATCCATTGATACTTTCACATTTTTTAATGTATTTTTAATTATCATACTTTTATCAGTGCTTTAGTATTTACACTACAATGTATGAGGGTTTTATTATTTTAAATCTCTGCAGAAGGAGATTTCCCCTCTACTTTCACTGATATGAGTTGTGTGTTTATACCATAACTAACAAAAGACTAACAATGAGATCATGTGTTTACATTTTCAGTAGAAGCATTGTGTTCTCTACTTCATAAATCTATTCAGTGCCCTAATGTAATTCTAGTGCATTTGTGTGAGCACGTCTTTACGTACTCTCTCTGTGTTATGTGTATGCTTCTGTATCAGGGGTTCACAGCTGGATGTGGTTGAGGTTCTCTGCTTCAGGGACAGGACACTCCAAGGCACTCGCTCAGTGCAGCACAGCATCGTTTTTCAGGTCAAGCTTCCCAGCCTGTCCCTGTCTGCAGGTAATTTCAGTTTCTCAGCAGAGTCACCTAGAATAACTGCACAAATGCTGTCCTTTTAGCTGGCTTCAGGAGATGAATGAAAACCATTTAAATGTTAATGCAGGATCCTTGACTTTCCCAGCAGAATAAGTTTGGTATTTAAAGGCTTTTTGGTGTAATAAACCACAGAGTTAACCTTGAGATAATTTTCTAAAAAGACTGGACTATTGTGCCTGGTGGCTTATCTGTAATGTGGTCATATACACGCTCCAAATTAGGATTAGTAATACAACAGCAATATTGCTGAACAGAACATTTGCAATTAGTAATATGTCATTTTATTTGTATAGTTTCATCGTTATGGACCCCAATGAATAAGCCAAGAGTAGCAATGACAAGAAAGAATAGAGAAACCACCATGATTAAAGATGTACCCAGGCTGCTTCTATTTTACTTAATGTTGTTTATGTCATGAGCGACAGCACCTAGAAGCACATAATAAAAAATAAGAGTGGTCCTAGAACAGAACCTTGTGGGATACCATACTTTTTTCATTTTCTGTGATTGTTTGTTTATTTTTACCAAAAAATAACTGTTATGAAGGCAGGATCTGAACCAAGAGAGTGCCAGTACCCTAAGCCTAAAATGGTTTATGGGCCTATCTGGTAAAATATAGTTGTCTGTTGTATCATATTGCATTAGGATGAAGTATGAACAAGAGATGTACTAATATCCGGAGGCCATTAAACAGAATGTTTGCTGTTTTAACTAGTGATGTCTGTATTATGTGATGAAACCATATTTATGTGCACGCATGATTTCAAACCTTTTTAAAAGAAAGGTTTGAAAAATATTGTGGAGATTGAGGTCATAATTTGAGGCTTAAAGAAGTGTTTATTATAGTTATCAGTAGAATTCCGTCAGTCTGAAGTGGAGTAAAGGAATCCAACCACTGCACTGATTTAATTTCAGTGTATTTAACTTTTAAATCAATTTAATCAAGTCTGGATGTGGTCATTACAAGCTAAGTACTTCTGAAGTCTAATCCAAGGTTCTGTGAGGCACTTTGTTCAGAAATGTGTTCAGTAATAATTTCATTTACAGTGATGTAGATGTCAGTGGGATGGTGTGTTGTTATACATATTAGATTCTTAATCTTTTTTGGTTTTCTTTTTTAAATTTGAGACACTTGATACTTGTGCTAAGGTGTTGCCTGCTGTGTGGCTCCCAGAGGTCTGGACTCAAGTCACATGACTTGGACTCGAGTCCGATTTGAGTCACGAATTTGATGACTTTAGACTTGAGAAAATCGAGAAAGACTTGGGACTCGACTTGACTCAGAAAGACTCGAGACTCGTGGAGAGTCTGACTGCAGACGGGACTCTACACAGTCGATTACTTTTCATGTGAATGAATTTTTTTGAACAGCAACGTCATTAATTGTCTGTCACTGTGCTTGTGCTCAACTAATTTTATTTCAGGAAGACAAGAGAAACATTAGAGCACTTACACTTTTACTGGAGAAACTCACCAGACGAACTGACCATTTTCCTCATTGTAGTTAAACAAAAGAAACACAGCTCTCTCTGTTTGACCACTTTTAACAGCTTCTGCAGATAAAACAAGCGCAACATTCACCACAAAGCTGAAGTTGACTTTTTATTCTCCAGCTTCATATTGTAATTTTCCATCCTACCTTAAATGGTGCAGCAAGTACATTCCAGCGCCTGATTCCTGCACCATTTAAGGTGGAACGGAAAATTCAAATTCAGCTTTGTACATTCACCATCATTTTGCTGTCTTTTCTGTAAACTTTGTTAGGAAACTTCTGATTAGACAGCAGTTTTGAATTGTCTGTCTTTCTCTGTTTCATCTTTTATTTTTGTTACGCTGTGAAGGTTCCACTTTTGAGCTTGGGTCTTTCTGTTTCTTTGCTTATTTGCGTACTTCACATATTTATACATGATTTATCGCTCAAGTTCATCTGTAAGTTACATTCAAGCATTTTTTTTCTGTCATAGCTTGTCCAAAGAGTGTTGGCTGGGAGAAGAACCCCAAAGGAGCAATGGGACCAAGAAGTGTCAATCTCAGTGAATGTATGGATCCCAAAAGGTATTTCAGAGTAATAATATGTGCTTCCTACATTTATTTGTCGACTTGCCGGACATGATATCTGTACTGTGCAAAAGTTCTTCAATTATGCAATTTTCTAGTCAAAACCTTTCCAGCATTGAGGGATGTGCAAACATGATTTTAACAAAAAAATTGCATGGAATCTTTATATATAACATCACACATCATATGCAGTTGTATGCAAAGGTTTGATGCCCCTGGTCAGATAACATTTTCTTGATTTTGTGAAAAAACACATTTTAATGCACTTTTACTGTTTTTTTGCTGAATTTGTGGCCCATGCAAAAGTTATGGCTCATTTTGTGTGTTATGTTTTGTTTTGTTTTTTTTCTCCAATTTGTTAAACTCAGCAAATAAGTAGAAAATATGCACTAAGATTTGCAGATAAATGACATTTACATTTGTTCACTGTAGAGGATGTGTTTACTACTTTACATGTTACTAAGTACTAAGTTCATTTTACTGAAGATGTTGAAACCTTTGCATACAACTTGTTATTATTTACTGTGTCCACATATTTCCTTTATTGCAACTACCATACTTTTCTTAAGAGTCAGTTAGATTTTTTCAAGGAAATCTGCTGGAAATCTGCTGGCTTCTTGACAGCTACACATCCTTTCAGACTGAAACACCTGTGGATGTTTTCAGATCTGAAGCAGCTTGATTTTCTAATCTTTCTCAGAGATGAAAGCTTTAAGTAGAGCTGAACGATTAATGGTTTTTTAATCTAAATCGTGATTTGACTGGACACGATTTTCAAATCACAAGGGCTGCGATTTGAATTAGCCGATAGCCTGCAAGTTTTAAAAGAGAAAAATCCACCCAATAAAAACGAACGTGCAAACTTCCTTCTGATATGCCATGCCTGACAAAGCAGCACAACTATTAACAAGCAGCTTGGCGCTAGGTGTCAGGAAAAAGATGAGCGCTTCATCTGAGCAAGCGATTGAGGCCCAAGGTCCGATGGAAGAGCTGCTACCAAAGAAAAACAGCACATCATGTGTGTGGGAGTATTTTGGTTTCAGGAAAACTAACATGCGTCAAAAACAGGTACTGTACAAGACATGTTGAGCATCGGTGTGAACCTCACGATGCAACACCACAAGGCTCTATCAACATTTGAAGAAGTATCACAGACATCTCTATGATGAGTGCCTATCTAAAAAGTCTAGCTACGAACGCCCACCTCAGTCACAACTTCCTAACGTGGCGGCCAAGTAAACCTCCGTTACATAGGGGTTCGAAAGCATCACGCCATACGAAGAAAGCTCACGAAGGCATCATGAGATAACAGACGCTATTGCGAAGTATTTAGCTAAAGACATGGTGCCGATTTACACAGTGTCTAAAGATGGCTTCCGAAACCTTCCCCAAACACTTGACAAAAGATATCAGATTCCCTCTGGCACATACTTCAGTCAAGTCGCTATTCCAGAGCTGTATGCTTCGTGTAGGAACAAAGTTCAAACAGAGCTGAGAAATGTGGAGTATTGTGCGACAACTACAGACATGCTTCTTAAACCTGTTCCAGGAGACTCCTGCGCTTTTCTGCTAATATTCAGCTTCTTAAACGCAGTAATGTTGATCAGCTGATTAGTTGAAACGGGTTTGAAAGAGCTGTTGAAACACCAAAATGTGCTGAGAGAACCTGAACAAGCCGTATACATATTTAGAAAATGAGTTCTGAGAAATATTTCAAGCTGTAAGAAGGACTGAGGAGTGGTGCTGAACTATTGGTCATCTTATATCAAAATGACAATTTAAACAAGCACAATTTTTAAATCACAAGCTGCAATTTGAATAATATTATACAGCGTGTCCCAAAAAAATTGACGTAATTTCGTAGTCTAATAACATAGCCAATTCTCCCTCGAATGATCTCAAATTTTAACAAAATGTGTAAAAACTAACCAAGTTTAATTTTTAATGTTTTTTTTCAGGTTGAAGAATGGCGTTCACTAGAAATGAAAAGGCATTTTGTGTTAGAATATGCTCGAACACAGTCAAACAAGAGTGTGCAACGTGCATTTTCGAGAAAATTCAATAAAAATGCACCAACTGGAAAGCAGATTTGGACATGGCACAAAAAATTCAAAGAGGAAGGCTGTCCGTGCAGGGCATAGGGATCTGGACGACCACCAGTATCAGAAGATATTACATTTGTGAAGCTTTGTGAAATCTTGTATTGTTCAACATGAAGCCTATTTAATTTTGTTTGCCGAAGACATGTAGTTACTCAGATATTCACATCTCAAATGATGTCAGTTTTTGGGACACCCTGTACATTATCCAGCAAGGTTTTTTTGCTGCTTATTTTACAATCGAGAAATGCATCTTTGTTGAGTAAAAGCCATTTGTGTGTTTGTGTGCTTGTGTATGTAAGACTTGCAGAATCATCAGTGGATCTGAATTTGAAGTTGATGCGCTGGCGTCTGGTCCCCTCGTTGGATCTAGATAAGGTCGTGTCTACCAAGTGTTTGTTACTTGGAGCTGGTACTCTGGGCTGCAACGTGGCGAGGACACTCATGGTGAGAACTAGTTCTCCTTCTGTGCTGTGATGTATCTGAGTGAAACGTGGTATCAGGGAGGGTCTTTGAGCTAGCTGAGAGTTTCTCCTCTGTCGTTAGGAGGGGGAACTGAAACATATTATTGGTTCATGTTATTTTGCCCCGCCCACTGGTGCACGGTGACGTGATCATAAATCAGAAGGTCATGATGTTTAGGTGAAAGATTACACGAATTTTGTCTTTTTATACAATGAATTGTGCTCTGTGTCAAGAAGAACGTGAACTGAAGGTAAAAAAGGTCAGTTTTGATTTCAGGTGACTTTAAAGTTGCTGAACAAAGAAAAAGGTGCTATCAGATATCAGAGCTCATTTTAACTCTCACAATTGCATATGACTGTTGTTCATCCCAGTGGAATAATCAGAAATGTTTGGGACATGGTAAAAATGTAGGGAAAAATTGTTTACTATATTTACATGAGTGCTACACAATGAATTGTTGCTCTAAAAGCTGAAAGTTCTACAATTTGAGCATGTGAATATTTTAATAACCTCATTTTATTGCTGTGAAAACCACGTTATGCACTTCTAAATTTAATCTCTTAGCACTACAACCTGCACATAGCATAGAGTAGCAGTATTAACACTGAATTGGAAAGTACACTGTGTAACACAGCCAGGGTATAAAAAAAAATTAATTACTGGGTTAGTTTGAAAAGGTGAAAAATAAAGAACTTAGCTATTTCAAGCTTGTTTTTTTCCACAGGGAAAGCATTGGGTATAAATGTACATTATGTAAGACTTCAGTGCTTTGTGTCTAGGTTGGACACTGTATCCTTTCACCAGAAGAAAAAGAGACAGTATAATTATTTTGTGCATGTTTCTGTAAAATGACTGCACTATAAATAGCTTGTTGTGTCTGGTAATGGGCTGCCAATCAAATTTTAGAAATGTGGAAATGTGTGTCTGTAGGCCCTTTATTGTTTATTTAATAAGGAAAATAAAATAAAAAAAAAGTTTGAATCAGCGTTTAAGCTCCTTTGCCATATGCAGCTTGAAAGGTTCAGCCAAGACTACAAACTCTTTTCATATGTTCTGCCCATATTAAAGATCATTTCACAAGAGATGCGGCACCATGGCGATAACGCGCACATGAAGCGTAAAAATACGCTTTGGGTCTGTTTCTGATGTGTGCCCTGGTAAAGAAATGCAGTGTCTATGCTATAGTATGCAATATCGGATAATAAGCAAATGTAGTTTTAACTCTTTGACAAGTTGGAACAAACATGCATCTCCTCCTCTTCATATAGTGCTACATCACCTGGTGAGAAAACCAGCAACAGTCAAGGCAGCTAGTCAAGATTTTATTGTTGATCTCTTTATGTCATCTACGTAAAGTTTATATGAGTAATAAACGGACGAAACAGACATGTAAACATTACATGAAAACGCAATACAAACAGCAGCCGTGTGTGTCTGGTGTGAAATAACAAGTGTCACGTAGTGGTTCCACATTAAGACGCATTGCATCTGATGTGAAACGGGCATAAGCTTAAAGCTGAGATTTGTAAACTGCCGCTAATATGGAAAACTGTTGTATGTACACAGTCTCTGTTTTCAATTCAGTTTTGTGATGTCACAAAAAACAATACATTTACATATCTACTTATTCAGCTGGAAGCAGCTTAGCCGGCCCATTCTCACTGAAGTTATAAGGAGTGTTTCAGCCTGAACTGACACAGTACAGGGCAGCGAATCAGAAAAAAGCTCATTTATTTATTTTAATACAAAAGGCACAGAAACAGACTGTTTAATCCTACACTCTTAAAAACATGGTGCTTCAATGGTTCTTTAGTAAAGAAAATAGTTCTGGATAGAAACACGAACACTTAAAGAACCTTTTGCAAGATCAAAGGGTTCTTTGCATCATGAAAGGGATTTTTCAGAATGTGCTGTAGGTGGTTCTATATAGAACCTTTTTGAAAAGGGTTCTATATAGTGCCCAAAAGTGTTCTTCTATTGTTACAGGCTTGACATCGTAACAATAGAAGAACTGTTTTGGTTGCTATATAGAACCCTTTTCAAAAAGGTTCTGCATAGAACCATCTACAGCACATTTTCTATCAGTGTGAAGAACCACTTAACGATGCAAAGAACCCTTTAATCATGCAAAGGGTTCTTTGAGTGTTCGTGGTTCTCTACAGAACCATTTTCTTTGCTAAAGAACCATTGAAGCACCATCTTATTAAGAGTAAAAGGCATAAGGAAAAGTTAGAATATGGTCATGTAAAATGAATTAGAACAAACTCACACAGTTGTCATGTGGGCTAAAAGGAAAAGGAGAAAATACAGGAAAAAAGTAGGATTTGAGCCTTTTAATGGTGGTTTTACCATTTGGCATTGCATTGCAGAAAATCAGTCCTATATATTACAAAATATGTGAAAGAATCATGTCTCTGTTTTATTTAATAACTCTCAATGATATGCAATAACCTTTTAGATATCTACATTTAAGCCTCTGTATCATTTTCCCATGAGCATGTTTTCTACTTTCAGCCATTCTGCTTGAACTGTCCTCGTTTCTTCCTCACTTGTCTAGGGCTGGGGGGTGAGACACATAACCTTTGTGGACAATGCAAAGATTTCCTACTCCAACCCAGTGAGGCAGCCCCTGTATGAGTTTGAAGACTGCTTGAGTGGAGGGAAATCTAAAGCCTTGGCTGCTGTGGACAGATTAAGGAAGATCTTCCCTGGTGTGGTGAGGAGAAGTGTTTATTTTCATGGTAACATAACACAGCTGACATACAAACTTTAGGAAAACTAGGAAAGACGTTTATTTATTTTTTCTGTATTCTTGAATGAATAAGAAGATTTATTTATTACACTTTCATTCCCCACGGGTTCACCCCAACACCACATGTGTAATTTAAATGTGTGGGGGGTTTACAGTGTGAAGTCATTAAAAATGTGTTATTTTATGTTCTTCACAGAAAATGAGCAAACGCCAAGGAGTCTGAGGGTGAAATAATAATAAATCGCATCATTTTTATTTTGGTAAACATTGAAAATGGGTTCCATAGACCCCAGTACCACACAAGGGTTAAAAAAGTTCTGACATAAGGCATAAAACTCTTTTAAAGTTATTTCTTAAACATTTAAACATTTAAAATGTGTAAAATACAGGGTCTTTGTACAGGATCTTAGTACGGTTGTAGTTGAACGGTCAACAGTTGAAACAAATGGGGTAAAAGAGTATAATCTGTACTGTCTGACAATCCCGCAGAGGTCAGAGATATTAAACATCTCAGAATTACATACATTTAAACTCATTTTGGTGGAATTTGCTGTTTTTGACCAGTTAATCATGTGAATTCTCCACTAGCTTTTGAGTAGTCTGTGCAAAAGGGTTCTTATGAGTATCACTGGCTCTGTTTACATGCAAAGATTTTTGCCAATCCGATTGAATACATTCTGATTATAGATTAAGACTGAGGTGTTTATTTGCCCACTCTACTCAGCAATCTGATGAAAATCTCCGTTTACATGCTCACTACGAGTAATCAGATCCAAAATTATATGCATGCGTGGAGAACCACTTAGTGTAGACGTTACCATGGCAACGAGCATCACGTGAGTCCAGTCTGTGTAAGACGAGCAGCAGTGAGCAGTGCTTGTGTTTTTAATTACTTTAAAATGATGTCAGACTCAGGAAAACGTACTTCACATGTACTTATTAAAGAAGGCCTGAGAAGAAGACGTCGTGTTCTGAGACACATAAGCTGGACGTCCGTCCCACCGCCGTCTTTTAAAGCTCAAAGCATAAGCTTCGTCTCCTCTGCAGACCAGTTTCTGCTCCCGCCCGGTTGAACGTGATAAACTTTCACTATGACGTGACGCACATGCGCAGACCGTACTTAAACGTTCCGATTGGGAATGTAATCAGATACAGGCATTTAAATTGATATTATTCTATTTAATGGATTATTTACAGGATTACCCACCTCGTTCAATCGGATGGAAAATGTATTCTGAATGGCCTCAATCAGGCTAGTCTATTTAGATTGAGGTGTTTACATTGACATATTCTATTCTGATTGAGCTGTTAGTCGGATTATTAACTGATTATTAGGCTGCCTTTTGGGGTCCAAGCATGGCACCCAAATGTGGAGACTTGTTAGCCAGTACAGGACCTTTAAGCTGAAAGAACACAAATGAGTTTTTAGAACATCCTCCATTTATAATCAATATTTATGAGGCGTCTCAAAGCCTCTGGAGCCTAAATGTGTGTTTTCTTTGCAAGTAAGTTAATCTTGAACTTGACGCCCAAGATACATGTACAAAGTATGTCCTGTGAATAACTGTCCAGTGCACAATTAATGATTGATGCATTTTGTCAACATTCTCCTATCTCAATGTAAACTAGGTGCTCCTGCTCTCGAGTAGTGTGCACTTAAGCAGTGTCCTCACCAATAACGGGATATTGTAGATTTTCCCACCCACCTGCACAGCTTTAACAAAACTGTGTCCCCAACAGTCTCTTTGTCTCTGTTCAAATTAGAAAAACTTAACACCAAGCGAAAGCGAACCTAGCAAGCCTGACTGAGCTAGCAAGAGCATCCAGCAGTAAAGGGAATAAGAACCTTCTTTAAGACGTCTCCATATGAATGCCAGATGATGTTTTCTACCCGCTTCACTCGCGTGGTTGTGCTTAGTTCTGCTTCAGTGCTGTAGCCCCTCGCCCCTACCACATAGCCCTTACCCCTCTATTTTGCACGTCTAGGGGTAGGATGTCCCGATTCTTGTTGAGATAGAGGGAAAAGGGGAAGTGTTAGGGCTACATGACCCTCCAAACTGAGGTTTTTCAGTGGCTCACTCCAAACAGTGTTATGAGAAAAAGGAAAAAATGTCAAAATGGCTACACAAATGTGAGTATAAACTCTGTTAAAAATTACGAGATTGTATTATCTTAGTTTAATGGCGTTTCAATGTATTATGGTCCTTTTCTTCATAACAAGCATAAAAAATCACTAGTGGTATGCTGATGTCTCAGTAGTTAGCTAACAAAATTTTTTCTGTTCTACCTTAAATGATGCAGCAGATACATTCTGGCATCAGAACTGCTGCACCATTTAAGGTGGAACGGAAAAATTTGAACAAGAATCTGGCAAATAACTGACATCAGCTTCATATCACTGAAGAATCAGGGGTGGGCGATAATAAATAATCGCCCCCTTCCATGAAGACATATGATGCCCTAAATGTAACTAAAGCCCAGCAGAGAAGTTGCTAAACTTTACCCTCCTCTGCTATCACTGCAGACTGGCAGGGTCGCCTACAGAGCACCACTAGTAGCCTGTTAATGAAGTAATGTTCTTTTTTATTTGAGGGTCCAGTTTCATAGGGAAGATTTCAACCACTATTGCTTGTGACACAGTTCCAAGGTGCAAAGTGACACTCGAAAACAAGGGGTAGGGGTAAAAATAAGAAATAGGATTGGACCAGTGTTAGACTGTCAGTCACGTGCGCTCAGAATATTAGGCTGCATCTAGACAGTTCTCAGTGTTTTTTAAACCGTTTTATTTTTTGTTTTTTTCCGTTCAAAATTTGTTTAGTATCATACAAACATTTTTAATAATTACACTGACTTCTGACTTTCTGACAGATTTTTAACAAATAAGTTAAAATACCTGGAAAGCAGAAATATTTCTGATGTGAAGTTTTCCAGACTTTAGAGCTCAGTGCTTAGTTTACATGGTCAAATCCTTAATCCTTTCTCCTGGGAGGCGAAGGCTCCAGGCGCTCTTAAGGGGAATTTGGGTGATAGAGCACCTATTTTTTTGTTTGCATGTCTGAAATGCAATATGAATTACTGTAACTCTTGCTTTGTCTCTGTTTCGGCTCTGTTTTTCCACCAAAGTTGGAACCCATTTGAGCTCTACTTGGGAAATAAGACTTAAAGTCTAATTTGCAGTCCTCCATAGTGCTGAAATAAGTCATGCCAAAAGCATTCTGCCTCGTCCTTGTGAGAAAAGCCTACAGGGCTTATGCCACATTTTAGTGAAGGCTTCTGGATGACTCTCAGAAACCGTGGCTGTAGCCCTACGGTGCTCACAGACCGTCCTGTTGCTCTGAGCTCAGTCATGATTGTGCTGCAGTTTTTTAGGTATAATTAGATGCTGTGTAACTTTGATTGCTAAGCAACAAAATTGATGTAGAGACGTTTCCTGTGTGTCAGCGGGGTACTAGTGTTCATATGCATAAATGGTGCGAGGGTGAAGTAACACTTGACTGGCGTGAGTGAGATTCGGAGCCAGGCTGTGCGCTCATGCCTCTGTGTAGGAACGCTGTCTGCCGTTGTTTACGTCTCTTGAGCCATTTTTCCTTCCAACGATTCAATCTCCTATTCTCTCCGCCTCTCCTCCTCTGACTCCATCTGTTCATCCACCACTTCATCAGCTCCCCCCTTCTCTCCTTCTCAAGATTAATCATTCTCAGCAGCCCTGTCAGAACGTCCTACCAGAAGTCCTGAAATTTAGGAGTGAGGAAACAAATTTATGCGTTTGGGCCCAGACAGCCAAGAATGACCAAACAATCGTCCAAGACTGACCGCTTCGTGGTAAACTGAACTGTTTTAAGCTCACACAAAACACACGATACATTTCAGATCGTTTTGTAAGTTCTAATAATTAGTTTGCCTTTTATTACCAAGGAAGGAAACTGTATTTAGGCAAAAGTAAAAAGAAAATGACACAGATCTCCTGGGCTTTAAGATTTGTAATGAAGGTCTCTGAAAACATATATAACTGAGAAAAGTAAATATTTATTTTTCTGACATCCGAGTAAAGTGCAAATCCTCTAAAAACAATACTTAAGTATTGTAATGAAGTACAATAACAAGTATTTTTCAACCCTGTTCATGACTGTTCTTAAAACCTTCCCTCTGTCTGTGTGTGGTTGTTTGAAAAGCTTTGAGAACTTTTCAAAAGTACATATCTGTGTGAAATGATGATGATAAAAATCTTGCTCTTCAGCCAGAATATCTCAAATTAATAGGAAGCTGTCAAGGTGATGGCGAGATTGGAAAATCGTACACTGATAAGATTAAAATGAACTTTTAATTACTCTCACTCATCCCCAGCTAATCAAAAGGAACACAAGCCTCAAGAATAATTTGGCCAAAACTCTCTGAGCTATTTTAGGCTTTTGTCTCAATGAGAATAGACGGTTACAGTTCAGACTAAGCCACCGTGTACCCTGAGTGGAGCTTTGGGAGCTTTTTGAGTGCTTTTTCCTTTCACACAAATAAGGTGAGGTGTAAGGTTCTACATTTTATAGATTTATTGTGCACTTGGGAACTAACAAAATGCAGCACTCCTTATTAACAGTGTGTTTAGGAGTACCAAGCAGTGCCTCTTGGCTGATCTCTCTGTAACTGAAAAGAACAGAAGTAAATGGTGGCCTTCAGCCTGACAGAACGTCAGAGTACCACATCACGAAATAGTGTGAAAGCTCTGGAGTTTCCGGAAAGTTGAATCTGTGGTGTTGTCTTCATCACTAAAGCCAGTGATTGATGTCTAAAGATAACAGATGAATCATCTTATCACTCATTATGTTCTGGAAGAAAAACAAAAGCTTCTGCAGTGAACCTGCAGCAGATTTAGGAACAGAATCACAACCATCTAAAATCGGACTCTGACACATGCTGTAATTCACTGTTGAAGCCAACGTCAGACATAGAACAAAAATAATCATCATAAT